CTACACACAACCATCAACACTACACACAACCATCATCAACACTACACACAACCATCAACACTACACACAACCATCATCAACACTACACACAACCATCAACACTACACACAACCATCAACAACACTCTTCCCTCCTCCTCCAACCTCTCCTCTCTCCCTGTTTATCATCTACCTCTCTCTCTTTCAACTTTCATCTCCTCCATTTTCCTCACCTCCCTCCCCTCTCCCCCTCTCCCTGAGCTGCACCTCGCCCTTCTTATGATTTTTTTTCATTAATGTATATAGAAGGTCTCTTCCTCCTTCCCCCCCCCCTTTCTCCCCTCTTCCCTCTTTCTCCTCTCCCTCCCTCCTTTCTCCCCCTCTCCCCGTCTCTCTCTCTCCCTCTCCCATCTTTCTCCCCCTCTCCCCTCTTTCTCCCCCTCACCCCTCTTTCTCCCCCATAACAATATCTGAGTGAACACGGCCACTTACCTCTCCCTATGAAGGTTGGTGTGAGGGTGGTGTTGTTGGGACAATATTTCCCCCTAACTAAATTCTGGATCATCCAGTATATTAACTAAACTTATTGGGTCTCTCTCCTAGTCAGACAGATTGAGTCCTCTGGCGAGCCTCCTCCCCCGACTGACGACAAGATGGAGACCATGGACCAATATTACACCTACAAGAGGGAAACGAGCCACGTTGAGACGCCAGTTCCAGCCCCCAAGCGCCGCAAACTGGACAATGGTTTTTGGGTGGGTTCATGGGATGATCACGAGGCAGCATTAAGCAAGATAATGGCAGAATGGGAGAAGATGTGGATTGTCGGTGGGAAGACATGGGGAAAGGACTGGGAAAACATGACGTACTGAGTTTGATATTTTTGTTTATGTAAATATTTTAAAAGATTTAAAATAAATATATTGTGTTACACTATAAATGTGTTTTATTTACAATATTTCACATACAAAACGAGTCAATCACAAATGATATTGGTGTCGCCAACTACTGGCCATGAGCAATTAAGATGTCAAACTTTAAAGATTTAATGGTCACAGGTTGAGTATGGGGTCAGGTGGTGTTCAGTGACCTTGTTTTCTGCTAAGGTGATAATTGCGGACGGCTGGCTGGGGTGTGCCCATCAAACAAGCGACTGTTTAAGGTGTGGTAGGTAGAGAGCTTGAGGCTATGTCGTAAACCCCAAATGTTCTACATGATCCTTCCTGGCAAGAAGATCTTCAATATTCTGTCTGCTGAGTAACCCTCCTGAGAACCTGCCTATTTACATATAAAATGTCATCAATAAGTAACATAATTATTGTTTTTTTTTCTTGCAGTTTATTATTTTTGAAACATTAAAAAAATCTCTCTAACTCCACTCTAATGCTTGGACCACATAAAGTTTTTTAAGAGTGTCTGTAATACAGTTTACAAGAACAACATTCTGCTTACAAGAAATAAAATACTTGCATATTATTCTCAATTTCAGTACATTGGTCACACCTATTGTTGTCCTTAATACCCACCATCAACAACCTATCATTAGTAGGAAGGGTCTCATGAATATAGCGATACAATAGCTCACGTTGTTTTGGGGCAATAAATTTGACATGAAGGTTTGCCCATATTACTCGCCAGTTAAAGAGTGGATATGCCTCCTCTACTCTAGCAACTATATGTGGGAGTAGAACATCATACACGTTTACTGTTCATCATTAAAAAAACCTTCAATATTACAAATCCTTGAAAATATCAATTGCACATAAATAAAAGTGCGGTGAAATAGAGACAAGGTCAGTACACTCTGGCATATGTATCAAGTAGCTAACACGTAATTTACAATAGTAATGTCCTATCGCATTTACACTAGTCCTCTGCATTATCTCCTTTCTAAAGGTAACACGTAACACAGCGAGAGAGAGAGATCGCTTGTCGAGAAGTTCCCGTAGCCAGACTATACTGTCAGGCCGGGTGGGGGGAGAACTGACTGCCGTAGCCACTCTATCAAACGTAGTATCAGAGCCTTTGGTGAGTGAACTTGTAAGGAGACGTATAGTGTGTTTTCCAACTTAGGTGTTGGGTGATGTTCAGGGGCATTCAGCTGTAGTGTTCTCAAATTCTTGTGTGGTGACTCAAAATGTGTATTAATGTTGACATATTGAACATCAAGTGAAAAAGGTGAATTATGATACCCATAATAGTAAATATATAATTGATTAAGTTACTTTTTAAATTGCCTTTAATTGTAATCCCTAGATCTTGTATATTGCAAGCTAGAGTGGAGGTAAGCTTGCAATACTGCAATACAATAAGCCCGCAGACTTAACTGCGGGCTCACCGTAGCCCGTGCTACTTGGAACGTTTTGTTCTGGGTAGCGGATCTTTAACAACAACAACCTTTTGAGTTAAAGATCCTTGGTTATATTCGTACAGCGGGTACGTGGTAACGCAGATAATATTGTTGTACAGACAAGTTCTGTTCCTTGTCTTATAGTTAACTAACTTGAATGGATGGTGGCAGCTATCTAGCAACCTTCTTCTATTTTTATCTCTTTACTATTCTAGTGCTCTGACTATTTCTTGCTCTTCTACTTTTCTCCTTTCTCTCTCATTATTAAACTTTCCCTTACCCCAAACCACCCATCCTGACTCCTCCCTCCCACCTCTCTAACTCCCTCACCCTTTTCATTTCTTCCTTAATTTTCATTCATTTCCGATACGTTACAAGTGTGTATGTGTGTAATTACCTAAGTGTAATTACCTAAGTGTAGTTACAGGATGAGAGCTACGCTCGTGGTGTCCGGTCTACCCAGCACTCTTTGTCATATAACGCTTTGAAACTACTGACGGTTTTGGCCTAACACCTCCTCACCTAACTTGTTCCAACCGTCTGCCACTCTGCGAAAGTGAATTTTTCTTCCCCCTTCCCCTAACTGATGTTAACAACTACAGACCTATATCAATCCTGCCTAACTTGTCAAAAATATTTGAAAAACTAATCTACAAGCAGCTTTACTCTTATCTAGCCAAACACAATATACTTAGCTCTTGTCAATATGGCTTCAGACCCCCCCCCAAAAAAGCAATAACGATGCACTTATTAGTATGACTAACTTGATTCATGCAGCTCTTGATAAAAATGAGTTCCCTGTTGGGTTATTTGTGGACCTGCGTAAGGCTTTTGACACTGTCAACAACCAAAACCTTCTCCTTAAATTACATCATTATGGAGTCAGAGGACACTCACTGCAATACCTCAAATCTTACCATACTGGCAGGCTCCAGTACGTTTCTGTGAATAATTCAATTTCTCCCACCCTACCCATCAACATCGGTGTTCCTCAGGGCAGCATACTTGGCCCTCTCCTCTTTCTCATCTACATTAATAACCTTCCAAATGCCTCCCTCCCAACACCTCAAACCAATTCTATTTGCTGACGACACAACCTTCATTTACTCCAGTCCTGACCCCCTTGCTCTAAATGTCACAGTGAATACTGAGCTAAATAAAATCCATCTTTGGCTAACTGCCAACAAACTCACCCTTAACATTGACAAAACTTTCTATTTTCTGTTTGGCAATAAATCCTCTAATCAAATAAATCTCAGAATAAACAATACCCAAATTTGTAACAAATTAGATGGCAAATTCCTTGGCGTTCTCATTGACCACAAGCTGAATTTCCAGGGACACATTCTAAATATATCAAAAAAAGTTTCAAAAACTGTTGGCATTCATTCTAAGATCAGATATTATGTACCCTGCCCTGCCCTGGTGACGCTCTATTACTCCCTCATCTGTCCATATCTCAACTATGGTATTTGTGCTTGGGGTTATACTACCCAAAATCATTTACGTCCTCTAATTACTCAACACAAAGCTGCTATTAGGACAATATCCCACTCTGGCCCCAGACATCACACGGTACCCCTACTCAAATCTTTGAATATGTTAGATATTAAGTCACTGCACATTCTCTCATGTGTAATATACATATGTAAAACGCTGAACTGTAATGCCAATCCTGACCTCAAAAGCTTCATTGAAGGCTGTAACAGAGCCCATGAGCACCACACCAGAAATAAATACAGTTTTGATATTCCAAGAGTACGACTTAATCAAACTAGAAATGCTCTACAAATCAAGGGACCCAGAATGTGGAATGACCTTCCCAATCATGTTAAAGACTGTACCTCTCTCAACCAGTTTAAGATAAAAACGAAGCACTACCTAATAAATTCCCTGTAACCTACCTTACCCCTCTATTGTCAACCCATGTCTGTTTTCTTAAACAACGCTGTCTGTCGACCTAATTGTATTTGTGCTGCTTTTTCAGCTATGTTCCCCCCTTTTTGTCTTCATTTTTATTTGTTCTCAACACATTTTATTCTTTATACTCAATTAGTATTAAGTTTTGTGAGATATTTTTTTTTTTTTTTTTTTTGAGATATATACAAGAGTTGATACATTCTTGTAGAGCCACTAGTACGCGTAGCGTTTCGGGCAGGTCCCTGGAATACGATCCCCGCCGCGAAGAATCGTTGTTACAACCAAGTACACATTTTACTGTTGCGTTAAACAGAGGCTACAGTTAAGGAATTGCGCCCAGTAAATCCTCCCCGGCCAGGATACGAACCCATGACAAAGCACTCGCGGAACGCCAGGCGAGTGTCTTACCACTACACCACGGGGACTGACCTTTTAGTCATTAAATAAATAAATAAATAATAAATAAATATGTTTATTCAGGTAAGGTACATACATACATACAAGTGATGTTACATTAATGGATTGATATATAGATAGAGCTAGTACTCTAATGTTTTTCCTGCCCGAAACGCTTAGCGTAATAGTGACTTTAGGCATTGTATGTACTAGCTCTATCTATAAATCGATCAATTTATGTAAAATCTCTTGTATATATGTACCTTACCTGAATAAACATTTATTTATTTATATTTATTTTATTAAATAAATATTCTAAAACAAAAGAAAACGTAAGTAATGAATGTGGAGACTAAGCGAGCTTCTCCAGCCACAACAAACAACTCCAGCGTAGCTTTCAACAGTTCCGCGTCGACGTTAGTAATGACAAAATTTCCAATAGTTTTCAGAATAGAATTAATGTTGGTAAACATTATATACTTCTTATCACTTGAAGTTTAAGTTATATTAATATACATTGCCGAGTGCTGATATAACTATATTTTGTTTTAATTTAGAGACTATATTCAGAGAGTTGAACTATTCATATAGTTCACCTTATGGGGTTTCCTTTGTGGAAGCATTAAGCTTGTTACACAGGTACTACTGGTTTAACCTTGATGACAAGCGGATGTCTGGACGCCTGCTCCACCTGGGAACTGTTGGTTAACAGATTGCTTGTATTGTCCTCTGGGTCACTACACTTATCTTCCAGCATATCCTCTTCAATGGCCTGCTTTCCAGTACCAGGCGCCCCTATCACCTGGGGGTCATAGGGACGTCGATATAATTTGTTGTTCCGGTTTTCTGATTGGTTCTACGGGTGCAGGGAGTTTGGTGTTCAGTGCGTGCTTGGCCTAGAAATGCTGGTTGATATGTTTTGTACTCAGGAATGCCTTTGGGGTCACTGGGTGTCTATAGATAGTCTTGCAGTTCCTTGTGTGGGGTGTGTGTTGGCACTCGCCTCCTAGAGGAACACCAGGGTGTTGCCAACCACCTGCCATATGGTGCATGTATCTCCCATAATGCACAAGAGTATTTCCACCAACAGGCAACTTTTACCCTCTAGTCCTGAAGATTTTGTCAATGTATGGGAATGATGGGATACTTGTGGTCCTGTGTTGTTAATTCCTCTAATCCAATATCGACAAAACCAAGCCTGTTAGGCTTATCAATGCCCCCCAGACCAACAACTGATGACCGTCCCCAAGGTACAACCCACAACATGACTGTACTACTGTACAAGGACCCTCCATGGGTCCCAGTAGCAGTCAGTTCGACACGCAAATTCCTGGTTCGAATCCTGGGCGGCATGGAAATGGTTGGGTACATTTCCTATCGCTTCATGTACCAGTCCACCTAGCAGTAAACAGGTACCCAGGAGTTAGTCAGCTTGTTGTTAGGTTGCATCCTATGGAGGGTCGATAATTTGATCCTAGGTGGGATCTTGATATAAGCGTAACATATACTCTATGTATAAACTGGCTGCCTGTCCCCAAATGCAATTAAATATTTAAGTTCACTAACTTCCGGATATCTAATTACTGCTAGGCAAACAGATGCATCAGGTAAAAGAAAACTTATCCAACTCTGTCCCACTCAGTGATTGAATCCAGAATTCTTGGTAGTGTGCTGTGGATGTAGAAAACATTGCTATATGGATCCACAGCATTCACTTGGACTGGTCAGGAGACTGACAGCCTCTTTTCTGGTGGGGTTGGTATATGGGGTACAGTTAGATTGTATGCAGGTGTCTTGACAATATTTATTATTCAATTGTTAAAACTGTATGTATTGTTGGGATAGGCTAGGTTGGATTAGACTGATTTAGTTAAGTTGGGTTATGGTATGAAGATTTTAAAATCTGTTGGCAAACTGTCTTGGATACAAAGTTATTTGTATTCAAGCTTTGATGGTGCAATTGTTCCTTCACTCTGTCTTCGTATTTTTTTTTTAAAGTGCTACATTGTTATACCTGTACTTGTTTAGTAATTTCTGATCATCATGTTGCCCCCTAATTATGTCTGGTTATAAAGCAGAGTTGCCTCATGTGGGCTAATAAGCCTTCAACAGTTTGTTACTCATGTATTCTTACATTAGGGTTTATACATTAAAATAATTAACCCTTACCAAGCCTACCCACTCTGACCTGGCATAACCATAGAGAATGGAAAATGGTTGAACTGAGTTGGATGATGTCAAACTAAATTTAACTGAAGGAATTTGAGATTATCTGAGGTGGAGGGCCAGTGGCTGGTCTTTGGACATGCTTAGTGGACAACAATTTTTTTTTTTTTTTAGATTTACTGTATTATAAAAGTTATGGTATGAATTGAAAGGCAGTGATTATCAATACAATTGTATTGTAAGAACTTAATGAAAAACTGGCAGTGTCAGAAGTTGTTGCATGCCAAATGTCTGCATACCTGGTCACTAGTCTCCCAGACAAAATGGTATTTCACCCATTTCCCACATAATTATAGCTATAAGCATGTAGTATATATATTTATCTTATAACCCACCATATCCATTTTTTGGGGCGGGAGGGGGAGGTTCAGCAATAGGTACTCTGAGAAAGAACTCTATCAACATCAGAGCCCGAAACTGTTCAACATGCTTCCACTACACATAAGGGGCATAACTGTGTATGAACACAGTTGCCCCTAGTCTAATATAGCGCATATTAGAAACCTACGGCGTTTCATTACATTCAACGCTGGTTTCTTAGACATTAGTGCTATCTAGAGTTGAATATTGTTGCACACTAACAACCCCATTCAAAGCTGGAAAAATTGCTGACCTGGAGAGTGTGCAAAGATCCTTTACTGCTAGAATCCACTCAGATTGGTGAACCACAAATACAGGTCACACATTTTAATTTATTTATTCCTGTAATTATACCACTTCACTCTAGGAAAAATGGCTAACTTTAACAAGCAGGATAACTTTATCATTCAAAGTGAATAATATGTTGTGGTTGTTTATATGAACTCGCAGAAATATTGGTTTTGTGAGGAATTTTGATGGACCGGGAACCCATCACCCATTTATATCATTGTGCCTGTGGAAAATCTTGATTCACGTCCCAAACAACTACTTTACAAACACATTCTCAGAACACAATTCGTTCGTAGTTGCGGAACTGTCTCTAATAACAGTGTACAGGATAATAATCAATTTGAAGATCCAATCGCAATCCATGACACAAACAACCCAGGCTTTCATTCATTAAATGTTGGGTGTTTACTATTGTAAATGTACTCTACAGTTTGTGCTACATGTTTCTAAGATTATATTTGATAATATGCTCCAATTTGTCACCAAAAGGAATTATGATATCAAATAGCTATTCATATAAAATATTAACAGTAAAGAACAGTTTTCCTCAATATAATTCAAATATTACTTTCTTGATAATGTAAAAACAAAATATGGTAATTCATGAAACATCTTGGCACCTCGAAAAGTAGTGTTGCAAAGGTTTACCTTCCCTGCCCCTTTAACAAGAAGAAAGAGTTTTGACTGCAACTGTACATGTGCATATTAGATGACCTTCAAGTTTTACAATCCTACATTATTCCCCTTCTGACAAATACTATGACTATAATATAACAGCATAAGGGCATTGTAGAACAATTAAACATGTGTATTAAACAAATTAATGTGAGAGGATAGGTTCGGTTGGTTAGGTATTCTTGGGGGAAGGGACCTCCTCATGTGAATTAAAACTAGCAGGTGGCACTATCCACATTCAGCTGAGAATGTAGCATTCACTTATTGTAAAACCCTGATTATTAACATGTATGATAAATGCATAAGAGAAAACCATATTTAGAAAGTAAGAAACTACCGTAATAATACCTGTAACAAATGCTCTCTAGCAGTGGTGGCTCGTGGAAAAATAAAATGGAGAGACTGCGTCACTGCAAGCTTCACTATTGTACAGCATGAAACCGTATTTTTGTCTAGTTTTAATGAAAATGTTCAAAATTCACTTAAAAATATATTGAAAATAACTCGTAAAGACTTTGTTATGACAGATTTGTTAGTTGGTTATTATTCTAATGTGAGGTTGATGGAGTTATACACCTGGCAGTGAGTGTCTTGAGGGACTGCAGCTCACCAACTCCTATGGGCGAGCCACCACTGCTCCCTAGTCCTAGAGGTATCATGGCTTTGGAAATGGTGATAATTATTTGTTTTCAGTTTGCGGATGGAGAGCACTAACATCTAAGAATGCTAACCAAGTTGGAGGATATTGAGCGTCAGGATGAGGACGGCACAATCAGGTTCATCCCAGCCAGTACAAGATTACAGCTTGGAAAACAGGTCAGTTCACAAGCTGATTAAGAATTCTCTTGTTCTTCAGTGTAGCTGCATATTATGCAAGCTCAGTGCAAGAACACCATTTTATTGATTTAAGAATATAAAACCCGTGTCAATATATATGAGCTCCATATTTCTGAGAATAGCTATGTTCCACACATTGAACTACATTGTATATTTAAATTCCACAAATTACACACTATTGAATAATATTACTGCAAAAAACTAGAAATGAAACAATTCACAGACACTAAAATAATTATATAAAAATGTATTTGGGGCAACCCCTGCCATGTGGGATAGAGAAAGAAGGGATAGACAAGGAGGGAAGGAGGGGGAGAAAGAGAAAGAGAAGGAGAGAGGGGGGTCAGGCAGAGGGAGGGAGGAAGAGAAAGAGAGAGAGAGAGAGGAAGGAAGGGAAAGAGACAGGAAGGGAAAGAGACAGGAAGAGAAAGAGTGGAGAGGGAAGAGCAAGAATAAGGGAAAAGGAAAAAAATGGGTAGAGGAGAGGATGTAAGGTAAAGGATAATATAGATTAGGGTGGAAGGGAGAAGAATTTTTCAAGCTACAGTATATATCTATATAATGTATATCCTTAGATTTTATAGCAGATGAGACTCTGGAATCCTTCAGTTTCTTTTTTGTGATGAAATCACTCAATTTTGTTTTTCTTGATTAGGACGAGAACTTGAGTCAGCCTGGCGTAGCAGGTCCCAGCGGCGGTGAGAGGGAAAGGCCAGGACGACTCAGGAAGAAGTTGACTGCTCGTCCTTTCACAAGATTTGATGAGGTATTTGCCATGATAATTCACATTTCTTTTGATTGCTATTGAAGCATTTTTGTAGTGATATTTTCTATCAGATTATATGTAGGAAGAGCCTAATTATTTTGTATATGGTGACCAAGGCGGTACAGTATAGAAGAATATTCATTACAATACGGTTATCTAGAGGTTATCTTGAGATGATTTCGGGGCTTTAGTGTCCCCGCGGCCTGATCCTCGACCAGGCCTCCACCCCCAGGAAGCAGCCCGTGACAGCTGACTAACACCCAGGTACCTATTTTACTGCTAGGTAACAGGGGCATAGGATGAAAGAAACTCTGCCCATTGTTTCTCACTGGCGCCCGGGATCGAACCCAGATCAGAAGTCCAGTGTGCTGTCCGCTCGGCTGACCGGCTCCTATACGGTGGTGTATAATTTATTATAAAATATAACAGAAGGGTGAGATAAGTGATTCTAGCATGATCTTCTTTATATTTCTTATGTGAAGAATGTGCACTTGAACTCACCATTCTACTTCAACTGATGTTTTAGGCATCCCTGTGTAAAGGAGTCCTAACAGATGTATGGAAAAAGGTTAACATAGTTCCAATCTACTAAAGTGGCAGCAGGGAAAACCCTCTCAATCATAGACCTGTATCATTGACAAGTGTAATCATCAAAATATTGGAAAAAATAATTATAACTAAATGGGTAGAACACCTGACGAAAAAACGATATAATATCAGACAGACAGTATGGTTTTCGATCTGGAAGATCCTGTGTAACGAATTTACTCAGTTTCTTCAATAGAGGTTATCTTGGGATGATTTCGGGGCCTTTAGTGTCCCCGCGGCCCAGTCCTCGACCAGGCCTCCGGCCCCAGGAAGCACCCTGTGATAGCTGACTAACTCCCAGGTACCTATTTACTGCTAGGTAACAGGGGCATCAGAGTGAAAAAAAAACTGCCCATTGTTTCTCGCCGCAACCCGTTCTCGCACTTTTTTACAGTCGATATTGACTTAATAAATACGTGCATATGTGACATACTAAACATACTAGTTTACCTTGAAAAGCTTCATAGAAAACACCGACCTTACCTAACCTTCTTAGTATGTTAAGATAAGTATCTTATTGTTTCGTAATTACAATTATTACTTAACCTATACCTGTAATAGGTTAAGTACAGTAATAATTGTAATTACGAAGCAATAAGATGCTTATCTTAACATACTAAGAAGGTTAGGTAAGGTTGGTGTTTTCTATGAAGCTTTTCAAGGTAAACTAGTATGTTTAGTATGTCACCTATGCACGTATTTAATAAGTCAATATTGACTATACGAAAGTGCGAGAACGGGTTGCTCGCCGGCATCTGGGATCGAACCCAGGACCCCCAGGATCACGCGCCCAGTGTTCTGTCCGCTCAGCCACCGGCTCCTGGGAGAGTCACAGAGATTTTACAGGAAAGAGAAGGTTGGGTTGACTGCATCTGTTTGAACCTAAAAAAAGGCTTTTGATAGAGTTCCACATAAGAGGTTGTTCTGGAAACTGGAACATATCAGTGGAATGGCAGGTAGGCTTCTAACATGAATGAAAAATTTTCTAACTGACAGAAAAATAATGGTTTTAATCAGAGGCAATGTATTATACGAGAAATGTCACAAGTGGAATACCACAGGGTTCAATTCTTGGTAATGTTCATTGTCTACATAAACGATCTACCAGATGGAATACAGAATTATATGAACATGTTTGCTGATGATGCTAAAATTATAAGGAAGATGATAATTGTCATGCCCTTCAAGAAGACCTGTACAAAATAACTGTATGGAGCACCACTTGGCAAATGGAATTTAATGTGAATTAATGCCATGTTAGAGAATGTGGAATTGGAGAACATAGACCCCCCACACAACCTATAAATTATGTGAGAAATCTTTAACCACTGTGCTGCTCGCCCTCCAAGTACGGCACCCCTCTTGTGCGCAGGAAATAAAATCTCGGAAAATTTTTTTGTTTTGTTTTCGAATGTGTTAAAAACCCTTTCCTGATTACAAAAATGTAAAAATATACTCAAAATTGTACATACTTTGGTCACAATGGGGTCTGGAAAATAGAGCGTGACGTCATCAATTGCTGGTCGCCCATGGTGTAGACTCCCAGGGGCAGTCGCATGCCAGGTTCAAGTTGCGCGAGTTGCCACAAATAAATTTTTGTTACTTTTCTGCATATTCACCTCGCGTCTGTCCCTCCACCAAACTGATAGCATATTGTCCTATTGTGCAGCTGGCAATCACCCACTGCAGTACCTATGCCAAACACTGGCATTTCCTTCCTGTGGGCCTTCACAGTGCCACATACGCCAATGATGTGGGCAAGGAGGTATCTGGTCAACAAGGGGCTGGTATAGTAGTAGTCAGTGAACAGTCTATGCCCCTTGTTCAGTAATGGTTCCATCAGGGTTTTGACGACACTGCCGGAGAACCCATGTTCATCATGAGCTGGTATGTCGACGTCTGTACCTGAATACAGTATCATGTCCATGATGATACCAGTTTCACAGTCACATAGCATGAAGAAGTTTAGTCCAAATATGTGGCGCTTTGTTGGGATGTACTGCACGAATGCCAGTCGCCCCTTGAACAGTACAAGCGATTCGTCGATTACCACATTCTATCCTGGCACAAAATAGTCACAGAACTTGCCTCTCATGTCACTGAAAACCGTCCGTACCTTCCAAAGTCTGTCGTGTCTGTCCTCAATTACATTATTTTCAAAGTGCAGGCACCTGAGAAGCAACAAGATCCTATTACGTGACATGTACCTGTTGAACACTGGGTATGGAACAAGGCTGTCTTTGCTCCAATAATCCTGGATGATGTGTTTCTCACAGTTTTTCCTGATCATGCTCAATGCAAGAAACACGTACATTTTGTAAATTGCTGTGTCCTTCTATCATGTCAGGCAAGAGGCAGGTAAAATGCCGGCATCTATGAGGCTGTGAGTGTATCTGTTCGTCTTGGTCACAAGATGGTCATGAATTCATTATCAAAATGCACCAGAAAATAGTCTATTTCAGCCATATCCTCACCTGTATACGGAAATAATGGTGTTACACCAACATCGGTACCATCAAAAGTTGGCATTTGTGGAACAAATGTGGCACAGTCCTCCACACAAGTACACCCGGTTATCTTGAGGTTATCTTGCAACCCGTTCTCCGCAAATTCGTAAAGTCAATATTGACTTATTAAATATGTGCATAGGTGACATACTAAACATAATAGATACCCTTAAAAAGATTCATAGAAAACACCGACCTTACCTAACCTTGTTAGTATCTTAAGATAAGCAACTTATTGCTTCGTAATTACAATTATTACTTAACCTATACCTATTATAGGTTAGGTAATAATTGTAATTACGAAGCAATAAGATGCTTATCTTAACATACTAAGTAGGTTAGGTAAGGTCGGTGTTTTCTATGAATCTTTTTAAGGGTATCTATTATGTTAAGTATGTCACCTATGCACATATTTAATAAGTCAATATTGACTTATTAAATTTGCGAGAACGGGTTGTATCTTGAGATGATTTCGGGGCTTTAGTGTTCCCGCGGCCCGGTCCTCGACCAGGCCTCCACCCCCAGTTTGGTTTTGGCGCCAACACCACCATGAGCACCAAAAACATGGCTCCATCGTCTGGTGCTGGAGCTGCGTGTGGGGTATGGTAGGAGATGAGGCTGATCTGCGTATCGTAGGCCTACCACGAACACCTGATGTAGAGGGACCACTATTGTCATTGTCCTCTAGCTGCGTGACACGCTGCCGCTTGCCGCGACGTGTTGTTGGGGCAGCAAAACCCCGCCTGGTAACACCCTTGCTGCTCGTACTCGGGTCGTCAACACTACTTGTATCGGAGCCTATGTCACTGAAGCCCGAGAATGATTCATCGCAAGTACTATCACTGAATAAACTTGCATCAGGGGACACACATGGTAGTGGTGACTCTAACGGTGTTGACCCAGGGTGGCGAGGCAGGCTGGGCAAGGCGCGTGTACTGTACACACACTCAACATCATCCACCTCAGTCTTTCCCTCACTCGTATCAGACCTCTGTGTAAGGTCTTTCTCTGGATAATAGTCTAAGTCATCATACAAAATGTCGCATATTTCCTCCCCAGAGACTCGTTTTCCATGACCGCAGCTGACCGTGGAGCGAGCGCTTGAAGACGATTCTTCAAACATGGTTGCTTCTTTGAAACTGAGGCTTCCCACGGCCGTGGGGCATGCTGGGATTTTCAGCCATTTTGGTGAGGGGGGTGACGTCATACTCTTAGCGTCGTCTGCTGGCTTCTGTGTGATTTCTCATGCAGTGTATCAGTGTATGGTGGCTACTATGCTGTTTGGACACAATTCCAGCTTACTTGCATAGTTGTGGTGAATAAAACATGTAGATACGAATACATAACGTGTGTAAATAGTGTAATAAAAACAATAACAGTATGGTGGGAAGAGGAATGTTGGCGAATAAGGTGTAAGGAGTAAGCTAGGGGTGAGAAGGAGTGAGGGGAGAGCTGGATGGGTGGGGTAGGTCACACTCGTGGAGTTCTAAGTGTGTTGATGGTGAATGTATATAGTGTGTGATAATGTATAGTGTGTAAATAGATTGTAAACATAAATAAATTAGCGTGATACATTGGAAATACAGTATGTGCAGGACATGTGTACACATGTGTCATGCACGTAACACAGTGTCTTCGGACAGTACGGATGTTCTACTGCCGTAATATATTGTACATGTTCATTATACATAGGATTGGCACGAAAAAACAAATAAAATGTATTTGGAACTGTGCGCAAAAAATGAACAAAAATATATTCGTGACAACTCACGTATCTTGAGCCGGGTGCCCTACTAGCCCCGGGAGCATACGCCACGGGCGACCAGGGATTGATGACATCACGCGCAAACTTACGGACCCCATAGCAGCCAAAGTAAGTACAATTTCGACTTTATGTTAACATATCCATACTCAGTTTCTGACACTCAAAAAAACAAAGAATTTTTTCCTGAGAATATATTTCCTGCGCACTGGGGGGGGGGGTGGGAGTGCCGTATTTGGTAGCCGAGGATTCCAGTGGTTAACTCACACCTTTAACTCTCCTGTGACCGACCCTATTCGCCATCGGTCACTGTAAAGTACTCATTTTCTTCAAAGTCGAAGGTGGTGGCAGCATTAACCCTTAACATGCTAGGGGTATAATATTCTTTGTTCCCCACAGGTGCATGTAATTTTGAAAAAAAAAAAAGAATATGTTTTCTTCCTAACCTGTTAATTTGTGTTCACTGATGACGGGAGAAATAATAAAAAAATTGTAAGTGGCATATATTGCCCGCTATAGGGTGGGGAAGTCTGGCAAAAAACAGGCGCTGACTCGGCGTGCGTCCCAGGCGGTCTGTTGATCGCCAGCTGTCAGGCCGGAGTTGCCACAAAGAGATAATTACCTAATTATTTCAATGTCTCTGATTGATTTTTCAAAGTTTTTTTGCTGTAATATTATTCAATAATGTGTAAAAAAAAAAAATGAATATGTTTTATCTTAAGAAGCACATCAACAAACTGGAAAGGTGCAAAGACATTCTTGTTCACTGATGACGGGAAAAATAATAAAAAAATTGTAAGTGGCATATATTGCCCGCTATAGGGCGGGGAAGTCTGGCAAAAAACAGGCGCTGACTCGGCGTGCGTCCCAGGCGGTCTGTTGATCGCCAGCTGTCAGGCCGGAGTTGCCACAAAGAGATAATTACCTAATTATTTCAATGTCTCTGATTGATTTTTCAAAGTTTTTTGCTGTAATATTATTCAATAGTGTGTAGTTTGATATATTTACATAATAAAATGAGTGAATCATCGCTGTACTAAAAAATATGGTGTGCATATTGTTGATTCAATTATGTTCATCAATCAGTGAACAAATACTTTGTCGGTTATTACACTATATACACAGGTTATATATAAGTATCTGCATGTTTTGTTCACCATAACGAACCACTAAGTAGCTACAGTATTATGAGTTAAAAAGTAACGAGGAGTGACCGCCGTGTACCAGCCAGCCACTCATGCCCTCCCTCAAGTCATCTGACTCACCCACATTCTCCTCCCACAATACTGTTTTTGCTTTTATTCACTATATACAGACGTTATATATAAGTATCTACATTCGTGTTCACCATAATGAACCACTAAGTTGGCATGCTGAGTGGCAGTGCCAGTGGCAGCCTGCCACTGGTTGCTACTTCCTCCCTCCCTCAAGTCACCTGACTCACCCACATTCTCCTCCCACAATACTGTTTTTGCTTTTATTCACTATATACAGACGCTATATATAAGTATCTACATTCGTGTTCACCATAACGAGCCACTAAGTTGGTATGCTGAGTGGCAGTGGCAGTAACAGGCAGTGGCAGCCCACCACTGGCTGCCACTCACTCCCTCCCTCACCTCACCTGACTTGCCACCATTCTCCACCCACCATACTGTTTTCGCTTTTATATACAGACATTATATATAAGTATTTACATGTTTTGTTCACCATAACTGTACATCTAAGCTTGTATGGTGAGTAAAGGAACAAAGACGTAAGACCTCACACAGTCAGCTGATGGCTACCGCCCTCAAGGCCAGACGCACTAATATTTCTCCTCCAACAATACTGTTTGTGGTGTTATTACGCTATATACACACATTATATATAAATATCTACCTGTTTTATTCACCATACTTGTACAAGTAAACTGGTATGGTGCCCAAAAACCATTGTGGTAACCTGTAAACAACACCGTCGTCTGCACGGTGGCGTTGTGCAGACGATGCCACCGCCCTCACCAAAATGGCGGCTCCCAACCTTCTCCTCTTGCTGTTTATACCCTCTATACACACGTTATATATAAGTTTCTACATTTGTGTTCACCATAGCGAACCACTAAGCTGGTATGGTGAGTGCAGTCAATAAAAGATGGCCACACACAGTCAGAAGACATCGCCACCACCCTCCCTCCCACAGCATTACTCCTCCCTCCATGGCGTACAGCGCTAAATATCACCGCAATCCTGCTATTATCAGAACCCTGGTCAGTTTTATCACAGTCAGGGGTCTTCTGTAATAATATCATCGCTACATAATAGCATGAACAAGTATATTATGGCATTTTTAGGCGATGCTGTGGTCACAAGCTGAACAGCAGTGCTGTTAGCTCATGCTGCGTGCGTCAGGCTTGGTTGCTCACTCAATACTGAGGCCCCTGACACCCTGGAGTTTGGCCCACGATTTTTTTTTTAAATGGCGTCTGTTTACAAGAGCCCTGATGAAGGTGTAGTGAAGCCCGTGTATCCGCGGGCCGTTTAAATCTTGCGTAGTACTCCAACACATCATATGATGTGATGCGCAGTTGACTGGAACAACTTCCAACACGTCATATGACATGATGCGCACTTTAAGGGTTAAGTGTTAAGTACTTTAAGTTAAGTCATGTTTGTAACAACTCGCTTGGTGGCGGTATCAGTGGTGATATCCAGGTGGGGGGTGTTATAGATGGTGAAATAACAGAAACAAAGTATTAAAAAACATGCAGATGTTATAAATATGTTATAGGACAAAGACAAGACATCAAGGACTCCTTCAGGCTTATGTGTGTAGAGCTATTACAATGAGCTAGCTACAGAGAACCACTAAGGCTCGACCAGAAATTCTGATTGAAAGAAATAATGATTGTATTTCATTACAATCAACGGTGGTATTCTTTCTTTAGCCATTTAATTTTAATTTTGTAATTTGCAGGCAAAGGCAGCATCACGAATAGAGAGTCACGACTTTTTTACACGAATTTGGCCAGAGGATCAGCCATTACCAACGCCACTCGGTAAGCAGAGGACGAAGCTTTCTCCAAAACATCCTCCAGGTACATAAATATATTCTCATCGCTTTTATTTTTTTAGGCTAGAGCCCGTGTGGCTCCCTGAATTTATTTTGTTAGGATGACTCCTAACTGGTGGATAGCACCAGCTATGGAGTTGAGTTTGGCCTACTGTGGACCAGAGCCAGAACCTGGCAGCCCCTCACAGAGGTGCAGGAAATAGGTGACACCATTTAACTTCACCAGGGAAGGCATCCAGAAAGTCAATGAACCAAAACAGACTACTACTGGGTTCAAAGAGACCAAAACCTCACAACCCGCTGTATGAACTTCACCTGCTTGATGGAGTTCTGGGAGTTCTTCTACTCCCCAAGCCCGGCCTGAGGCCAGGCTTGACTTGTGAGAGCTTCGTCCAACCAGCTGTTGCTTGGAGCAGCCCACATGTCCACCACAGCCCGGTTGGTCCAGCACTTCTTGAAGAAAACAATCTAATTTTCTCCCGATGATGTTCACGGTTGTGGCGGCAATATTTCTTATGCTGTACTCGCTGGGAGGATGTTGAAACAACCGTGGACCTCTGATGTTTATACAGTGTTCTCTGATTGTGCCTATGGCACCTTTGCTCTTCACTGGTTCTATTCTGCATTTTCTTACATATCGTTCACTCCAGTAAGTTATTTTACTGTTTAGATCTGGGACCTGGGACCTCCAGTATTTTCCACATGTATATTATTTGATATCTCTCTCGTCATCTTTCTAGCGAGTACTTTTGGAGAGCTTTGAGACGATCTCAATAATTTAGATGCTTTATCAATGTTATGTATGTTGTCTATGTTCTCTCTACTCCCTCTATTTCACTAATCTCTCCTGCTCTGAAGGAGGAAGTGAGTACCGAGCAGTACTCAAGATAGGACAGCACAAGTTATTTGAATAGTACAACCATTGTGATGGAATCCCTGGATCTGATCCCCCAACAGTGTAAACAAACGTTATTTCTGGGGGGGAGCCCCTACAGTTCCCTGGAGCTTACTAGGCTGATATGCTAATGTCAGACTTTGGCATCAGTCATGTGTATGGAGTTCTTGTGGGCCTACCCGGGACCACGAGCCAGAACCGGGCCCCCTCTAGAGAGGCAATGGCCTATAGAACCCCCGTGTGATTGGAAGCATTCTATGTCTGCCATCGACCGGGTTAGGCACCCAGAGAGGTAGGCATCCCAAAAGAAACCCCTATTCTGGTGAAAATTGCAACCAAAGACCAAGCGAGTGGATAGAACTCCCCAAATGAAAACGAGCAAACTAGTATGACGTCACCCATCATCGCGCCGCTATCTGTGCAGCTCCCTCCTCCCTGGGAGGGGGAAAGGGGTAGCCCCAGAACCACCACACCGGCGACCCACACCCCAGTTCTTGAGGCTGATGCTATTGGCTCGGTTGTGTGCTCTGGCTCCGGTCTTTTGCGGCGCTGTGCCTTGTGTGTGGTTGCTGTACTTAGGGGTGCGAGAGCCGGGAGTTATTCTTCAGTACTCGGGCTGCATGCGCCTAGGTTTCCCTTCCCTAGGTGTCTTGTAAGTAGTGCCCTTGCAGCTTGGGGTTTCCTTATACAAGTTCCTCGGGGTCTGCCTCTGTGGGTCTGTTTCACTGCTCGGTTTTTCGGCCGCCCTTTGGGTACTTGGGTGTTTTGTCTCCCTCATTTACCTTAGGGTAAGAGGCAGTTTTTGCACTGATAGGGGTGCAGGGTGCTGCGATGGATGTGACCCCGGGGTCCCCTGTCGCTTCGTGTGAGTTTTAGGGTTGTTCGGTTCCCTTGTCTCAGGGCGACCCTCACTGTTTTTGCCTCCATCACGTAGCCTGTTGGGTCGGTGACACTTTCGACCCCGAGTCCTGTGAGTACTGCTGCTTGCTGGTGACTCAATTTACCCAATCTGTGGATGATCATCTTCGGGTACAGACTGTGCGGGCGTTGCATTCTAGGTTTCGTTTGTTGCAACGTGCTAGGTTAGTTGCTCACTCGGATGCCCCGCGGCTGCCCCGTTTTGCTTATAGGGACTCGACTTGGGGGTGGGGGTCGCTTCGACCCTGGTTCAGTCAGCACCTCCTAGTCCTTTCCCTTTTGTTGTTCGTTCTGGTCCCCCTCCCCTGCTTCCGGCCCTGCAACGTCTGAGGGTTTCGGAGCCGAAGCTGGGGTTAGTTGATCTTGAGACTCGGGCAGCCTCAGGGGATGGCCCTTCCGGTGTGGCGACGGAAGCATTCAAGTCTCCTCCCCCGGCCAAAGCCTCTGGGTATGACCAGTGGGCCTCATTCTATCCGGCTTCTATGGCTGCACCGGCCTTGTCTGGTGGGGTCGGTGCTTTGGGGGAGGACTCGGCCCCGGGTCCTGCGGAGGAGGACCCTGGGGCTGGGGAGGGGCTGGCTTGGGGGCCTTGGGCTACACTGGACCCTGCCTGGGTTTTTCTGCCCTCTGAGCGGGGCTTACTGTTACAAGGAGTGGGATTTTCTTTTCCCCCCTCTGCGTACGAGTTGGACTTGGTGTCTGCCCCTCCCCTGGTTTGGTTCCGTGTTCCCCCGGGTGCTTTGGTTCCGTCTTTCCGGAGGTTTTCGGCTTATCACATCCAACCTGCTGCGGTGCAGGTGGCCTTTGCAGCAAACCTCCTGCGTGACCCGGATTATGCCTCGGCAATGGATCCCTCGGCTTTCAGGTTTGGGATTTCGTTCCCTTTCTGGCTCCGTTACGAGGTTCCGGAGTCTTCCTGGCTGGCGGACTGCCCTGTCTTTGCTTTGGAGGCTTGGCACTCCTTCGGCCGTTCCCGCACGCTTGAGTGGAGGGAGGTTTCTACGGTGCTTCAGGTTTTCCTGGGGGGGGGGGGCGACCTTGAGCACCTCAATGAGTGCTTGTTTGCTCCTGCCCTTCTTCGGGATGTTGGTGTCATTTAGCTCTATGTGCAGGTCCCCCTCCTTTCGGCGGCGCAGGTGGCGGAGGATTTGCGCGCTCAGGGCCTTTTGGTTGCGGCCTTGCGCGTCTTTTCCCTCCTGGAGCTGTCTTCGGACTGGCTCACGGTGGATGTGGAGGCACTGGGGGCTGTTCCTGGGTCTGGATCCAGGAACAGCCTCCTTGACCTCTGCAGCTCGCTCATCAGTTGCCTTGCTGAAGCTTCTCACGCCGATCTTGCGGGATGTGGTTGCTCTGTTTTATGCTTCCTGGCTCGCGTGTCGGCAGACGGTGCTTGCCTCCTCTATGGAATCCACTTGGGCCATGGCTCTTAGGACGTCTTCTCCCTTTTGTCCTCTCTTGTTTGAGGCTTCCGCTGTTGCGCAGTATGTTCAGGCTGCTTCAGCTTCTTGCCGTCCTATGTCGGACTTGCTGGTCTGACAGGGGTCCCGTGGTGGACCTTCCCAAAAGGTCGTGCCAAGGCTCGGGGTTCCTCTCGTCATGGTAGGCCACTGGTGACTGGTTCGGGTTTGGTTCCTCTTTTGGACCCGCCTCCGTCTGGTCGGCGCGGTGTTCGCTCTGTGCGAGGTTCTGGGTCTCGTAAGGGGCGCCGGCCATTTCGCGGTTTGCCCCATTGACGGGGCGTTGGGGGGGGGGAGGCTTGTGCTGTTCGCTCATGCCTGGTCCCGCGATTTGTGGGCATTTCGGGTCGTTTCGCACGGCCTCCGGTGGCGTTGGGTAGCCCCTCCTGCAGGGGGTTCGGGGCTGGCAGGGCAGGCTTCTTCCCCTGCGCTCTGTCAGGTCGTCCTGGAGTGGGTTCGCTTGGGCGTGGTCGAAACGACTCCGTCCCTCAGATGGGTTTCCCATCTTTGTTTCCAGTCCCAAAACGGGACTGTGCGGACCTGTGGTTCATTCTGGACTTGTCCCGTCTGAACCCCTGGGTTCATTGCCCCTCCTTTTGGATGACTATGCTGTCTCAGGTTTGGCTTCTGTTGGAGCCGGGTGCTTGGATGGTGTTCCTGGACCTCTGGGATGCTTATTGGCATGTCCCTATTCATCCGGGGTTCAGGGACTGGCTCGGTTTTGTTGTGGGGCTTCGTGCTTACCGCTTTCGTTGTCTCCCATTCGGTTTAAACCTGGCACCTCGCGTTTTCGCACACCTCACGTGGGTTGTGGTGACCTGTCTGCGTCTGTTAGGTGTTCAGGTGTTGGCCTACCTCGACGACTGGCTGGTTTGGGCTCCCAGTCAGTCCGCTTGTCTGCTGGCCAGGGATCTGGTTCTTTCTCAGCTCGCTGGGTTCGGGTTCTTGGTGAACTGGAGGAAGTCCCATCTGGTTTCCTCCCAGGTTCGGACCTGGCTGGGCCCTGTGTGGGACTCTCGAACCGCTTCCTTGTCTCTTCTTCCGGAGTCTCTCCTGCGGCTGCGATCCCGCTTGTGCCTGTTTCTGGGGGACTCCCGGGTCACCCGGCGGTTGCTCGAGGGGTTTATGCGGGAGCCTGAACTTCGCGATGCTGGTCTACCCGCCGGGTCAGGTTTGACTTCGTCGTCTGTTCTGGTTCCTTCGGGGACGTCCCTTCCGCCTCTCTCGCGATCGCTGGGTTCAGACCCCGGGGGGTTTTGCGTCGGTTGCTGCGTCGCCGGCTTCCTCTTGGGGTTTTTCGGGTTTCAGTGCCTTGGCGCCTACCCGAGCCCTCGCTCGATGTGTTCACGGATGCGTCGTCTCTCGGCTGGGGCTTTGTGTTCAGTGCTCATCAGGCCGGTCAGGGACAGTGGGGTCCGTCCTTCCGTCGAGCCCACAGCACTGTGCGGGAGTTCGCGGTGCTGTGATTTGCTCTTCGGAGGCTTCGAGTCACCCGCGGGTTGACGATCCGGCTCCATTCGGACTGCTCCCTTTTGGTTCATTGTCTGAACCGGGGGGGTTCGATACGGTCCTTGGCTCTTTGGGGCTGGTCGCTTCGGGTGACTCGTCTGCTGAGTTCTCGGGGTTTGGCTCTCCTGGCGGTTCACGTACGGGGAGTGTCCAACGTCTTGGCTGACAGCCTGTCTCGTTTCGTTCCCCTCTCCATGGAATGGATGGTCGACGCCGACTCCTTTTGTTGGCTTTGCCAGACGTTTG